ACTGATCTCTATTCAGCAGACAATTTTAGAGAGGGTGGAGTGTCCTTGAAGAAGTAAGCTGCATTTCACAAAGAAAGCACGATAACTTGTTATATGATAATGAAGAGAATCTTACAAATATACTTTACACTAAAAATATCAAAATCCGTAACAGACTAACAAATGGAAAACAAAAAAAATACGTCTCCTTTTCAAATATCATTGCTTCAGGCTGACTGTAGATGGGGGCTGGTCTTGATATCTCTACCACTGTTTCTTGAGGTGATTGAAAATTCTAGAAAATATACTGGACCTTTTCTTAACTGTCGGGGATTCCGGTGATACAAAGTTTGAAATATTTTATTTCCTGTACTGTCCTGTTTTAAGTAGGGATTCACACAAGCTGCCCTGAAAGGAGAAGTATTTGTACCTTCCTTCCAAGCTTATCTTGTCTGGCTTTTGAATGCTTTTTAATGAAGTGGTATTTTTTGTCACAGGTACAGGTGACAAATTTACTGCCTGAAATATCAGTGACAAGGCAACCAGGGCAGAAGCTGAGCCCAGCAGCGTCAAGCATCATACGTTTCAATGCTTAAACTCCAGATGTAGTTGCCTACCAAAATAAGTCATCACCACTGCACCCAGTGTTGTTACTTCTCATCCTGTTCCTCCCACCTTCTTTTAGTGTCCAGTTTTGGAACATGCTTTATACTTAGAAGGACACTGAGCCCTTCTGGTGTGTTTATCAGTTTTCACTGGTAGTAACCTGCATTGATTTTGTGTTGGAGCATGAGCTGAATAAAACATAATTTTCATTACCTACATGAAAAGCACTGGTTCCCAGAATGCCTGTACCAGTTTTAATGTCTCTCTAGACAAAAAGATTTCTTTAAAAAATTTGTAAAAGTTTAACAGGTGCGCATCAAAACATTTGTTACTTTCTGTCTTTTTGGCAAGGAGTAATGAGATAACTAAACAAATTTCATGCCCATCCCACTCTGTTTCCTCGCAGGGGAATATATGCAGCGCAAGTTGTACGCGCAGTGGATTTGTGCGCCTGAAATGGGCACCCTGTGACAGAATCCAGGCTGGCATGCTGAAGAACAGTCAACAGTGAAGTTTACATTAGAACAACAAAACCAGTCTAATTTGTCATAGTAAAAAAACCTATTACTTCTCTTCTGTCAAAGTGTATTTGATATCAGTGGCTCCCACATACCAATTAAACACCTCACTTCACTGAAGGTGAGAGCTATTTGTTGCTTTTGTACACTTGACTGGAAAAGAAGTCATTATGCACATAACAGCCACTATAAAATTGATGATGATTTAGCAAATATTGCATGAAAATGACAAAAATGAGAATAAAAATATTATTATGTACACATGTAGCTATAGTGAAGACAAAAGAAGATTTAAGAATGGCACCATTTTCTTCTTCTAGTACTGTCAGTTTATGATCTTATCCACATTTTGTGTCTTATGAAAGAAAAATTATCAACAGCTACTCGCATACAGCAAGATCTTGTAAGAAACTTCCGAGAGTATAAAATCATGCTTTGATATCTCAGTATTTTCCATGTATTTTTACTTCTATATTTTTTCCTTACCCAAATCCAGAAACACAATGCAATTTATTGCTTTCACTGAATAAAGCCAAAAAAATGTGCTTTTGAATAACATAAGTAATGGAGAAAATGGGACACATTCTGGTGGGAAACTGTGTCTGTTGTATAAATAAAATATATGCAGCTATAAATATAATATGTACTACTCATTCTGAAACCATAGTCACCTCTTAAGAAATAAACACTCGAGTCAAAGCCGGGTAACAGACTGGCAGTGCACTCCTGGCATTTGTCAGGAGCATTCGTCAGGCTGACAGTAATATTAACCACAAACCATTCCAGTTGCTTTGGTTTATCATTGTGTGACTGATGTTCAAAACAATGCCATAAGAAGCTGCTTAAATAAAGTGTTGGTTTAACCTATACACTGCAGTTCTTTAAATCTGTACTAACAGTGGACTCCTAGCTAATATATTAAGAAAACTGTTATTCATATTTGACACTTTGTAATACCTAACCTTAACTTGCAGTTTCTTAAAAGAAAATGTAAAAAGTCTTCATTTTTAATTTTCTTAAGTAGCAAAAAAAAAAAAAAAAAATTTGACCTGACATCCTTTCTGCCAGACCAAAATCAAAGTTTTCCTTTTCTTTACTAAATTGTGATGTGCTTCTGGATGTGGATAAGAAAAAGTAGTAAAGTAAAAGACTGTTGAAACCATATAAAAAGTTAAATGAAATATCTTTAAATATTTTAAAAACCTTTAGCAGTGCAAAAGCACATGCTACAATACATAATTAGTCCTTATTTTGAAGCATTATCCCCAAGATAACAGTACTACAATGAAAATATCATGATATACAAGACATTCAAACATTTTCATAGTTGAATATTAGCAAGGTTTTTCAGATATTTGCCATGAATTCATCATCTGACACAAAGTTTAACATTTAAACGACATAGAATTGGTTCTACTAGCAATGCCTGAACAATATCCAAAACTTGAGCAGCTGTATCTGAGACCAGCATGGCATACAGACTTTCACTGTGTATATGGAAAGGACTGGCATTCATCCAGAACAGCAGTTACGTTTTCAGAGATCAAGACACACTGTCTGATCAACAACATTTAACAGAACATAAGGGAAAATGCATGTTAAATATATATATGTATGTGTATAAATATTCACTATTCCCTAACAATAGGTGCAATTCTCTGCTTATCACCTGTTAAAGTTTAAAAGCTCCCAAGACCATCATGTTACAGGTTTAAATAATATTAATGAAACTCTTTCTACTCACCATACAATACAGCCAAGATCTAATATTGTAATAATTATTTCCTGTATGAAGTTCATAGTTTTCAAACCCATGATGCAGAAGGTTAAGTACAGACATAGCTACAAACCAAGTAACGTCCACTTGGTAAGGTCCCTAAGTAATGTCCTCTCTCAGCAACAGCAATGGAAAGATTCTCTGAGAGCTTAGAGTACACCCAGTAATCCTCAAAGACTACTTTCACGGATAGAGAAATCCATATAACCAGCCACTGTTAATAGAAAAACGTATAGGAAAAGAGAAGGTTTGCTATCCAATTTCTTAATGGAGGCAAGAGTGATACCTAACCTCAAACAGGGAAAAATTGCTCTACACTGCACTTAGTTCTATTTCAGGGTGGAGGAAGAAAGACTAGCACTATACCGCTGACTGAATTGACCAGTTTACAAATTAAAATACAATTACAAGGAGATGCCTCAGAAGTACAGCAGCTGGAGAATCCTTTTTTTCCGTTTTGAATTATTTTAGCAACGACATGAGAGATGCAGAAGTGTAATTTTGCAAAAGTTAATGGAAAATAAGGCTGCAAAAAATCATGTTATAATAAAGGAAGTTATCAATGATTAATACATTTAATTTATGTACTAATTCAAGCTATGCAGAGCTGATGCTACTCCCAAGTTTTCAATTTTCACTTAAGTGTAATTCACAAGTGTAGTCTAGGTTGGTGATAGGTATATTTAGTTGTAAACTACCTTCAGATATTTTTTGGCTTGGGGATTATTAAGAGAGCATTTATTAAATTCCAGAAAAAGAAATTATTTATAAATATTATTCACTTTCAAAAGATTTGTTAAAATGTAAAATATATGTAGGTTCACCCATGAATATGACACTGATTTGTGTCAGTTAGACATTCTGAGAAAGTATAGAGTTCATGACTGATTCAAATTAAATAACACTACTAAAAAATATTACAATGACAATACCTCAGTATCTCTCTGCTTTGGACTTAAAAACATTATTCCTTTATTTCTATTTGTACATACATATACACACACAAAAGGTATGGTATAGTCTTCAAATACATATACGTATATACACACACGTATATACACATATCCATATCTATATGTGTATATATATTTGATGACTATACAGTACCTTTTTTAATGTTAAAATACTAAATCTGTAATAAAAGAATTAATTTTCTGGAGATTTTCACAGACCTATGTTTGAGCTTAACCAATTGCAAACTGAAAGCAAGAACTTTTTAAAACTGCCTTATTTCTTTGGGGATTTTTTTTTCTATCAAATTACCAGTTTGTATGGAAGACTTTTGTAAAAAACAAGCTATAATTAAAATATTTTCTTTACCTTTTCCACTAATTAACTATATTGCTCCATGTGCCATTCATTCCTCATAAGAGCTAGCTTTTAGAAAAAGATCCTGTTTGACAATTTGTGCACTTAGCCTTTGTAGAGAAAATGAGAGACGTTTCTACTTTGTAAAAGGAAATACTCCTTTCTTGGAAAAGACTGAAAGAGAATAATCACATTCTATAAAGCTTTAAACAGGCGGTATAATATTGCATCTGCATACGTTTGTTTGGGAAAAACAAGGCTACTCTGCCAGAAAGGAGTTGTTTGGAAAAGTTGTTAAAAACTGACAATGTCTGGCTGACAAAGGACAACTGCGTTACTTGAGCATACCTGAAGGGGATACACAGAGGAAGTGAAAAAACAGTTTCTACTTATGGGAATAAAGACAATTATTTCGAAGTACTTAAAATATACTAGTATCACAGGCTTTGCTACTAAAAAAAGCACAATTCTCATCAGAAAAATAAAAAATTATTCAGCTCATTTTTAATCTCTAGCAGCCTCAGCATTCCTAATGTCATTAAAATTTGAAATGAAATGTAACACACATGCTCCAAGAGCATCTTCCATTAACAATTATTAAATTGACACAATCAGAAGCAATAAGAACGCATCAATAATTCATTCTTCCACAATCTGATCCTATTATCAGTATACATATACAGAAATTAATTGCTGTTATTGGTTGTGAATTTAACATTAATGCATCAAACGCAGCAGAAAACATGAACAAGACTGAAAGCTACTGTGATAAATACTGGAGAGAAAAAAAAGGCATATCTGATGACAAATACCTTTGACAAATCCCTGAAGTTGCTAGGAAGTGTAAGGTCCAACTCCTCTGATTCATAGTTGGTGATAACCCAAGGGAAGACAGGGTACTGATTTAAATCATTGTAAGTTCGACCTGGCAAACGAAAAAAAAACCAACCTGCCATGAGTTAAGAGTTATATTTAACTAAAATACCGACCTCTAATGATACGACAATGTAACTTTATGAGCCCTTCAAAAGAACTGTCATTTATTTCAGATCTTTTATCATTTCAATATTCTACTTCGCTTTATTGAAAGGAGTAATGAAGTTCACAAATTGCTAGCATTTAATTTTAAACATTGCAGCCCATTTCGCTTTAGTTGTAAACTCTTTTGCATATGGTGAGAGCAACAGCTAAATCCATTCATTTTCTATGCATTTCTCCTCTCCTTGTTCATATCATCTTGTCTTCTGCTTCTTTACAGGGAAACACTTCAAAAAATGGAGAGGCAATGACTTTTGTGGATACTAAAAATTAAAGCAATATTTTTACATACTGTATTAAATTCAGTATGTGAAAGCAGAATGAAGCAGCTCAGGATTTCAAATTGAAAAATTATGCAAGGAATAACCATTTCATCTAGAGAATTCACTTTGAGGGCAACTCTTCCTTGACCATCTATGGATATACCAACATTTACCAGAACAGGAAACCTGCTCTTGTTTCAGGTTCACACATGCACCTTCATGCATCTGTAAGATGGAAATAATACTCTTCTTCCAGTAAAAACAAAATATTTGATTAGAATAATCGTATCCTATACATCCACATCCACCACACACCTCAGTTTATAATTTTAAAATGCCTAATTTTTACACAAATCCTGCTTCTTTCTATGATATTGTTGCAGAAGCTAATGCATTCACATCACCTCCAATCAGAATGTTCGCAGATTTTGTCTAGTCTGGTCTTAAAGGTCTCAAACAACAGGTTTTTACTTCTTCCCCAGGAATATTATTTCACAACCCAATCTATCAGTTGTCAGAAAACATTTTCTAAAACTCCACTTGTGTTTTTCTTTTTCCACTTTTCTTACGCCATTCAGTATTTTTCCATCCTGGTTTGCAGAATTTTTAAATGGTATAGTCAGATTCTTTCTTTCCGTAATCAGTTGGTTATGCTGCACATTATCTCTTATTCAAGATCACAGCCATTTACATGATATTGTGATACCTATCTATATTTGTTTCAAACTGATAGCCATCATGACAATCTTTTAACTCCTCATCATGGGCATCTAAACTTTCCCTTTTTCCCTAATGTTATCTCTTTGCTCCTTTTAACCTCAAATACCAAGTACATATTTATTTACTTTATTCACTTTATTGTTTCAATAATACATTAAAGCTGAAAAGGATCATTCACTAGAGCCACAGAAAACGGTGTCATGATCTTGCCTCGTTCCACCTTGGCAGTAAGGAGGCAAGCAGACCTACCCTTGCTTTCATAAACTCTGCTAGTGGCCCGGCATCTCTGACTTAATGACTGATTACAGAAACTAGCAAAACTGACAATTTGTATAAAATGTAATTAGTGTGAGCAGAGGCATTTGTGATATCGATCATGTCAGTGAGAGCCAAGTCTGAAAGGGAATTAACAGACCTTTCAACACTGTCAATACCATAGAAAAGAGCTGAAAATTGAGAAATTTTGCAAGTTGCTCTGAGAGCAAAATATGTTGGAAAACAAAAGAAAGGTCACGAGATCTAGCAATTAGCCTCCATTTACTAAACTGAAGTCAAGTTGGTTAGAAGCTGATGGGGTAAGATGATTTAATGAAACATAGCTTAGCATTTACAGAATGAGGGGTTAGGACAACCATATAGGTGTATGAACCACAAGACCAACCACAAATCTTACAACAGTAGCATTTATTGGCTCCAGGAATATCCTGCTCCCCAGCTGAGACTTCCTGGAGGGTTATAGCCCTACAGAGAACTTGTTGCATCAGGGGTATTCAGGAAGGATAGTACTTAAGAACAGTAAAACTTAGAATATTAAGGGATAAAGAAGTCACTATTTCTGAGACTCTCCTAAAGAGTAGACAGTGTATATAGATCCTGTCCTCCCACAACAGTATAGATATTCTGACTTTAGAGATATATTTTAAGTGCAGTTCAGTACAGCATTATGTATTAGTCTTACATAAACATAATTATGAACAAAGTACATTCAGGAGGATTTTGGGAAGTTGTTCTTCAGAAGAAAATTGTACACAGAGAAAGTAATTTATTAAAAGGGCAAAATCTAGTAGTGCCCCATGTCTGTTCAGATTGTGCCACCATTAACTACTTTTCAGAGTCATTACAGTAATTTGCATTACCTGCTATAGTGTTTAGAAACATCAAGTATTCAAAGTTGGAAATTTCTCGGTGTTGCCATCTCTGGGTCATATTGGAAGCTTTGAAAATCTGTCGTGGACTAGCCAAGGAAATGCGTCTGGAAAAGAAAAAAAAAAAAAAACCACCAAAACAAACAACACAGAAAAAATAATGAGAAAAGCTGGTGGGTCTTCCTTTTTACCTACCTGAATTTTAGTGGCAGTTGTACATACTGTTTTTACCAGTTCTAACGTAGATTTCTCTGGAGATCAACTTGCTATTTTGGATACATGAAGTTCATTTTTTAAGTTTTATGATCTAATAAGAACAAAAGACTTAAAACATCTGACAGCTAGATATGTCAAGATTTGAAAGCTTTCAAACAGAAAGCTTTACAGCTGTGCAAATTCAGCCGCTCCATGAAGGCTTGATGTATTACAGAAATATGTTACTAGTGATTTAGAGAGATAGCAGACCACTAAATAAGAAAATTACACAAGTTTTAGAATTTCACATAAGAATAAAGTCATCTTTCAGGAGAGGTTTTTAAATCCCTCAAGAACAAAGGAAAAAAATGATAAGATGATAGAACTTCATTATCAAGTCCATCCTCTTGAGATTTAAATTCTGGGCAGCGTTGGGGAGTTAGTCATAAATAACTCAATTAAAGTTTAGAATTTGATGCCAGATTTCGTAATGTTTGTGAAAGAAGACTACAGAGTCATTCCTTGGAGTGATAAATCAAGCAGAGAAGAGCTTATCATAAAATTCCCAAGACTATTTTCTTCATAATAAAAACATCTGTAAATACCAGAACTCCATCATTTAGGGGGAAAAAAAAAAAATCTAGTTAACAAATCTTTACAGGTATTGGTAAACAATAAAAGAAAACACAGTAACATAGTATTTTTTACTTTAATAAACTACACTATATTGCAAACAAATTTATCAGTATAAATAGATGCGAAATTTTGAACAAATGTATATTTAAAAATTTTCACACAGAATTTACTTCTGTAAATAGAAATTCCTAAATTCTTACAGAGTGGCTATAATTGCAATTCAAGAGAATATTTTCTGGACTTGATAAAAAAAATGTAAAATACAAAAACATAACAGAAAACATTCTCAACTATTTTAATGCCATTTCTGTGCACAGAAATCTTTAGAAAATAAAAATTTACAAGTAACAACAATCAAGATACTCCTTAAGGGTTGCTGTTTCTTCTAAAAATTTAGAAATTGATCTGCTTAAAAATGGTTTATAATTCATTAAAATACAAGAGGTAACCAATCCAACTAGTGATGAGGTATACCTCAAAAGCTTCTATTTCCATCAGCTCCTCCAGAGCTAAAAGACAAGCACATCATACCAATCCTTCACATGCTGTTCAGCTTATATTGTTCTACACATCGCTACAATATCCTTCTGATGAGGAACAATCATTTCCATCTACGTTTAAATACTACTGAGGATTCAAGGATGTTACAGTCAAACTAATATAATTGAACACTGCTATAAAAGCTAATCAGTCCTACAACCAGTCTTAAATAAGTCTTAAATTTTAGTGAGTTGGCAAGCATAAAGAAACCTATTTTCCTTAAGTAGGGTAAGTGATTGAGTCTCACTGCCAAAAAGAAGCTATCTTCCCTATAACAGATAAATCACAAAAAAATCTCAAATTGAAAAGTTTTTATTATACAAACACATTGCAAATGGCATGCAGAAGCGCTAGCCTGAGGATGTGCATGTTTTGTAAGCCAGTAGGTGTAAAAGCTTCAAACCATGTAGGTTGGTCTGATGAAAAAAGAACTCTTAGAACTGACAGATAAAATTAACTCAAGTTGTAAAATACCTGGTCTGGGGTAGTCCGAAGATAGTACCAATACCGACCCGAGGCAGACAGTTAACCGCTTTCTTTACTGTTGCTTGGTCAGGAAAATTGAACATGACACCCACTGTGAACACAAGAGATGAAACATGGCATGATGTTACATCTTTTACTTCAGGCTTTCTGGCCCAATAAAACTTAACTCTAAGCTTAGGTGAGTGTTGAACAGGTAAATGACGAGACATGTTTCCTTCAGGTTCCCATAGATACATTTTTTTATGATTTCCAGAACTGCTTTTATATACCACTAACAGGAATTTCAACAGAAGTTGTCACTGTTACAAATCTCCCAAGGTCTACATTTGTTTTCCTTTCTGAAAAGAAGTTAAACTTATATGCACAGATTGACTGTCTAGAACTGATTAAAAAAAAGTTTATATATTAATTGGATCACACATTTACTAGTTTACTTTCTAGATATTTTCAAGATATATTCTTCAAAATATTACCTTCATATTTTGTTTGAAACATTCAATGACACTCACAAAATAGCAACCTAAAAACCTAAATAACAATCTCATGATGGTATAACCAGTGGACATTTATGACTTCACAGAGTACAACAGGCTCCAAAACAGGAAAGTGTTTATGCTTATGTTTAAGTGTTTATGTTTTATACGTTTATTATGATTGTGTTGGACAATGCGTACTTCAGATATGCACATCAATGCTCTGCGAGGTATATGTCTGAATACTTACCAGCCATCTTCAAGATTAGAGATCATTTTAAGCTCAGACAAAAAGTTTTTGACTAACATACTAACTGCATAAAACATGTTATCCTATGAAACATTTATAGATTTCAGGACAACAACATTTCATATCATTACAAAAACAATGTTTTACATATTAAAAGTGTCATCTTAAGACCTACTTTAATGGGTGTATTTGTAGACAGTCAGTATTCAAAATCGGTTTTCAAAATTTCGTTATCAGTATAAAAGCACTAAAAGTACCTGAAGAATCTTAGTTTAAACTGCAAAGACATCACATAATCTGGTTTAAAATAAAATTTAGAGGGAAAAAACAGCAGAAGAAAGTTCTCCAAGTCTCAACGCACTATGTTTTAAGTGACTTGTCACAGTACATATGTGTGTCTGGAAAAGGAACTGAAGGGGAAGGTGAACAAAAGGTTCATAAACAAGGTATGTACATATGTGTGTCTGGAAAAGGAACTGAAGAAAGGGGAGGGTGAACAAAAGGTTCATAAACAAGGTAAATCCACATTTATTTCTTGGAGTCTAACTGAAAGAAATTATTACTAGAAATAAAGCATGAAGGTATACCAGTCACTGGTTTAATCTGGTAGTAAAGTTCTTTCACTATGTTGTTCTTGGTGTGCATAACTAACATCCATTAACCCTCAAGAGGGACAAAAAAAACCCTTCATGCATAATAGATCAGAGGTAGGTAGGTATGCCTTAAGGAAGAGTTTCCAGACAATGTCAAATGTGGATATAAATGTGACACTGCTATTGCTAATTTCCAGTTATCATGTTTGATCATCATTCCTCACTGAAAAGAAAAATGGAGAAACTAAATTACAAAAATAGACTAACTTAAATATTAAGGCACTTAATCCAAGCCTGTCTATCTACACAAATCCATACCAAAAAACCCATGACAAAATAGCCAAACAGAATGCATGTCCCCAAATCAACACTTGCTATTCCTCTAAACTCACAGCACCTCGATTTGCCATGAATATCTCCAATGCTGTATTTTGCAAAAGATAACGTCGGGAAAAGATGGAGCGAATCTCTGAAAAGAGCCATTTTCCGTGGAGTCCTTCTGTATATGCTAGAATCTAGTAAAGAGACAGAGAGAGAATGTTTTAAATATGTTGTCAGTATAGGTAATATCTTGTAAAAGAGAAACTGTTTGACCCACAGACATGTATTCTACCAATTAAATGTAAACCTGCAGCAAAATTAAAACGTGCTCAAGCTTCAAGTAAAGCTATGAACCTATAATGGACTTTAAATAAGTCCTAAGTTCAACTACTCATGTCAAGGATTTAAAAAATTTGCTTGTGTTTTTTCCTTTAAAGACAACTGCCTGTTTTCCCTAACCAAAGGAGTTAACATCAGAAGCATCATGAAACGTTTGGCACTTCAGCAAAGCATAGAACCATATTTTGAAATGTATTACTAGTGCCATTAGATGTATCTGCACCCACTTCAGCATTATAATAACAGGCCTGTAAAAAAAAAGCAAGAAAAAAATGTCTTCAAAGAAAAAAATGTTCCTTACATTTATCGTGAAGGCAACATTCATTAATTCTAGAACTATAAAGGTTGGCTGTATAAGAGGTTAAGTATCATTTTGTCAGCTAAGGTTAAACACAAACCTGCAAATGAACTCAGCATAATCTCTCTATGGAGCAAGCGGTTGTCAAAGTAACTTGTTACAATTCCTGTCATCCCATCTGACAGACACAGATGCTTAGTCTGCCTTCACAATTCAAACTAATCCCACTTTCAGTCCTCAGCCACTTTGTTTCTTTGTTGCTTCACTTTTTCCTTTTCATTTCAAAGCTTAATTATGTAAGTGTTAAGGGACAGAGAGATTGGACACTTCTCTGCCTCACGTTAACAAACCATAAGCAAAGGAGAATCTGAGATTTCTCAATTTTAGCAAACACAAAAGCACTTAACAGAAATCCATCACGGAAAAGGAGATTCAGATATAATCCTAGTTAACATCACTCTTAACTACACTTTCCCTTGAGTGATATATTGTGTATAAAAAAGAATGAGTGAAATTCAAGCCTTTAACATAACAAAGACTGTTAATGAACCCAATCACTTGTTTATAGATTTTTAACAAAGGAGGATTTTTGCCTCACATGTAGCATATATTCAGAAATAACCTGCATTTTTGTAGCACAGAAAGAAGAAGAACCATAATAAAAGTACTACACAATACAGTATAAAATACTGTACCACCTCTGTGAATTAAAAGCAAAGACTGGCAAACCAAAAGCAGATAGCACAGATCAGATCATACAAAGCAAACCATCTCCCACACCTTCTTTCTTTTTACTTAATCCCTCGTCTTCTCCTCAATACAAGTGCCACAGACAACTTCTCTCCCACCACCCCCACACACACAGAAAGAGAAGGAAAAAACGAATGATTATTCCAATACAAAATTGTAGAAAGGACCAGAGATTGTCAATGGTTGCTAATCATTTCTGGAACTGGGGAACTAACAGACTTGGGCCACGCTGACAATTTATTTCCACACCACATCCATAACCCATCCACACTAATTGGCAGATTTGTATAATTCTAGGGTGCTATTCAGAACCACCCGCCACATGCGTATAAATATCCTTTAGAGAGCACATCACCAAAAGAGGTAACAACAGAGACAAAGTTGCAGTGCTTGGGTACAAACATCTCTTAGTACTTTTGCTGCTATTCACCCATCTCACCACCTTTAAATTGGAGCTTATATTTTCAATGATTATTTTTTGAGACGACAGGAATGTGATGACCTCCGCTTTTCTGTAGCGACAACCGAAACACAACAGCCTGCTGCTTGTCACTACCAGTCTGTGCATCACACATTCAAACACTTAATACGTGGATACTGCGAGTAAAACAGCAAGTTAAATACTTAAGTATTACTTCTACGCTGCGAAGCGAGCATTTTTTGTGACAGTGGAAACCCTGCACAGGGCCAAAAGCTTGCTGCGTGCGACCCCTCCAAAACTGGGAGGAAAAGCACTGACTTGAAAGCAGCGGACGTGGTTCACATTGCCCAGCCATGATGAAGTTATTGAATTGAGTGTAACAGGATTTACAGCAGAAACTGGAACTGCACCGCAGAAACACTCCCAGCCACCGCCGTAACAGTTCTTTAAACCACTCATTAACAGAAGTTACCAGGAGCGAGAAGCAGCTGAGGTCCAGCCCAGCAAGGCCTCCATTCCGAGTTGGAATAGCGGCTGCCCGGTCTGCAGCTTCACTTCAAAGTCTCTGGAGTTCAATTAAAACTGGATTAGGTGGAAGCAGACCTTCTTTGGGACACTCTGTTCTCTGAAACTCCAGGCACACTGACAGCACCCTAGACAGAGGTCTAGCCCGCCAATGAACCAGTTGCTATGGAAACTGCATCATTACCACTGCTCCCCGCTCATCACACCACCTATAGTAGATGTGAAAGGTCCAGAAGACAAACACGTTTCTTTCATGTGTATTGCTGAGTATTCCTTACGAAAAACCAATTCAACCTTTTACTCCCTGGTAAATATCTGATTTTACTAACAGAACCTCCTAGTCGCAGAAACTGACTCGTACTTCAAATTAAATTCAGCGTTTTCATTCTGGCAAAGGGATTTTTTTTAAAAATTTTTTAATCAGTGTCAACACTTCTGATTATTATCAGAATTACAACTTCCAAAGACTATTTTTGCATTTGCCTGTTTTCACCCATAAGCCACACAACAGAGAATTCTACTTAAGAATTTAAGAACAACTATTCTGTTCATACTATTGTACAATATGTTGAGTCTAAAAACAACTCATTTATTTCTGTCTTTTGCCACCACCAGTTTAGGAACAACTTGTGGAGCAAAGACTAAGGAGGGGGTACCAATCTAATTTAATCTGTGCAAATAGTACCACTTTCCCCACATGAAAAAGTATTTATAAATTTTCAGTTGATTTGACACATCAGACTGAAGTTTAATCTACTGCATGTTTCATTCATTTCAAAAGACACTGCACCTTACAGGAGGAAAGACAATTTATACAGTTTACCATTTCATTTAAAAATACTTAAAATAAACAAATGAGTCAATTATGAAGTTCTACGGTTCCAAAAAACTCACTAGACAAACTGTTCTGTGATTACACTGGCAACAGCAGACGAACAGAGGGCACGACAACACTACTAAAAATACAAAACTACTTTCCCCTTTGCATGAAGTCCCTTCTTCAAGTAATAGAAAGGAAAGAACTGATTACAACTTCCAGTTCTCATACTCGTGGTGCAGGCCCTGACACTGCACAGCTGGGAGAAACTCCCCAAGAAACTAGTAAGTAAAGAATAGCCAGCTTCCATTTCCACTTCGAGGAGATTCCAAAATCAGAGTTGCAAGAAAACTCAAGTAGCATAGTGCTGATCATGAGTTGAGATCATTCATAAAGAAGTCCTCTCCTCACAATTCATTTCCCAACATTAAAACTCTTACTCCAAAGCTATTCTGTCATTTTACAGACTCGAAAACAAATGCCCCACCCTGCCTTTTCTTCAAAATCCTCCTTGAATGTTGATCATAAACATCTCTCGTAAAAGATTACACGCAGTAGTTAAAAGATACCACCACTACAGCTGCCTCTTGAATTAGAAAAGTAATATTTTACTGAAGACTAAAGAAACCTTTTGCTTTCCCTTTTAAGCAAACCAATCAGCTATTGTATATTTTATTTTATTTTAGAGAAAAGTACTATTGATTTTGAAAATGTGAGTAGGCTAGAAGTAATTAAGTCTGCAAATAGGTTATAGAACTGAAACAGTAATTGAATAATTATATTACTTTAATGTGCAAGCCAATTTAACTGCCACGAGTAAAAGAAAAACTATATAGCTTATTTAAAAAGCTGATGCACATCTCTGTATTTCCAAAAAAGTTATAATGTATCAGACAAACAAACCAAACCCAAAACCCACCAAATAAAAAAAAATAAAGCATTTAATTTGCATTTCAATTTGATTGCAGTTGAGAGATAAAATCCATAAATACATTCTTCTAGCAGCATTTCTCTGCCATTTGGGGTCATTTCGTTCAGGAAGGCAAAATTGCAGCACTTAGAGGTTACAAAACCTGACTCTCAGTTCATAAGGAACCTGGATTTTCACCCCAATCTCAGCCCTGCAACTGAGGATTCCTCAGGTCCTGCTGTCCAGGTACTTTTAGTTCCTGGCTGCTGGATTCATGGTGAAAAGGTCTTACTCTGTTCTTTGTTTAAATATGTCCAAGTACAACCAAACTAATAGGGAATTAGATCAGATTATTAGTAATTTTAAGTATCCAAATGCTCTTAAATAAATCACAGTGCTTATTAGTTTATTTCAGATTTCTCAGGAGAAGGATGAATAAGATGTTCTTTTTAAATCTCAGATATTTATACAATCAATCACTGGAATCCAGAGGCAAACAGTAGCAGTCTCCCATCCAGTCCCTCCTGTGAGCACGCAGAGCCTGCTATACGATCCTGTTCAGCATTTTCATGGGTGACAAACTCAATTAAACATATTCATTACTTTAATGTTCCACCAGACAGTTTTACCCAGCATAAAATAAATAAATAAATAAATAAATACTCCGTGACCTTTGTATCGATCAGAGCAAAATGGCTTATGCCTGGGTGTGGGTGGTGAAGGGATTGGGAAGGGGGGTGGTAAAGGACTCTTATGTTTTCTCTTCCAATTACTGGAGGAGATGATAAAACCACAGCAAATGATGTATCAGCTCATTTTATCTTATCGCTTTGGGGCTAGGTGACAATGAAGTTCATATTTCACTGGTTCCCATTGAAGATTGTGAAAATTACTTGCCCTTATGACCTGAAATTTCACTGGAAGACAGAAATTTCTCTTCTGCAAAGTAATGCAATTTTTCAGATGTCAACCTTTAGCCCAGCTTTAAAAATTAATTTCATTTATATTAACCAATGATATTGATATTTTCACAGAATGCTCTTTGATACATGAACCACGGAGTAGCAAATTGATGTGCTCTAGAAGGATAAAATTATTTTATCTGAAGCTGCTGGGGACAGACAGGTTTACCAC